GACGTCCCGAGGAGGCCGGCCCGCGGTGCGCGCAGGCCCGCCCCGTCCGCGGCCTCGCGCCCCTCTCTCTTCCTCCCCAGGGTCTCCCCGGGTGCGGGTCCCCCGGAGTCTCGACCCATCCCGACGCCCGCCCTGCCTCCTCAGCTCCGCCCCTGACTCCACCCCGGGCGGCTGGAGGCCCAGACCCCCGCCCGCGCGCTCCGCCTCCTTCTCCCACAAGGTCACACCCCCAAACGCTCTGGGCGGGCTCTGGTCCTCAGGGGACCCACGGCTCGCGGGAAGAGAGGGAGGAGTCTTTGGGGACTGGGGCGGGGCGGGGCTTACGTGTTTTGGCGGGGTGGGGACGCCAGAGCAACTAGGAGAGGGGGCCTGGGACCCCCCAGGTCTACCACCTCTCAGGACCAGGCTGGGAAGCTGGGGTGCAGGAAGGGCCTGAGGGTTCCTGGACCAGAGGGCTTTAAGGATGGTCCGAAGGAAGCTCATGTGACTGTCGGGACCCTGGGAAATGTAATCCCGACCTATGCCCTTGCTTGCTCACTTACCAATTGTGTATTCTGGGCACGACTGTCCCGCCGTCTGGGTCTCAGTTTCCTCATCTGTAAAACAGAGGGTTGACCAGTTGACTCAAAGGGCACTTTAAAAAAAATAACTTTATTGATTTCAGAGAGAGAGAGACATCCATGATGAGTCATTGATCAGCCGCCTCCTGCACGCCCCCTACTGGGGATGGAGCATGAAACCCCGGTCATGTGCCCTGACTGGGAATCCAACCTCAAGCTCTTGGATCATAGATCCATGCTCAACAGCTGAGCCACGCTGACTGGGCAAAGGGCACCTTTAACGTTACTGTTTTAGTGCCTCCTAGGATGTGTGTCCAGACCCATGGGCTCTGGGAGCTCCCCCAGACTCAGCTGTGAAAATTGAGTTCCTCAGAACCCCAAAACCCTCTCCCTCAATGTGAATGGGTCCCCAAGCCCAAGCCCTAAGGCCACTGGAATCCAGCTGCAGCCAACCTTCCTGGCAGCCTACCCCTCTCCAGGCTCCAACCCACTCATCTCCCAGACTGTACCCCCAGCTCTCTTCTCCATACGTTCTATGGCCACACACCCCTCAGTGCCCGGATACCCTCAAGTGTCTTGTCCTGGCATTTGAGGGCTGTGCTGTTGGAAGCAGTTTCCTCCAAAGATGACTGTTCCCAACAGGTACCATCCGTGGCCTTCTCCCCATGTCCACTCTCCTGCCTTTGCCTTTGTTGTTTCCTTTGCCAGGATTATTCTTCTCTGGCTGGTGTAAAGGACGTCCCTTTGTCCTTATGCCCCCATCTCCTCAACTGCTGGGGTGGGTCTCTGATTTGGGGGCTGCTCCCTATGATGTGTGGCCCCTATGGTGACAGAGGCCCAGGTGCCCAGAGTGGGCACCTAAAGAACACTTGTGGTTCTCCGGTGTTATATTTTGATGGTCTCAGCTTTATGTCTCTGTTTCTAAGCCATTCTATTTTAAGTTTTATGATTGATGACCACTGAGCACCCCCGCCCCTTGGCGATAGTAAAAAAAACATTCACGGAGGGATTGGGGGAACTGAGAGGTAAAACTAGGGGCTGATGGGGGAGTTCTTCATAGGTCTGATATCAGAAAGCTTGAGATTTGGAAACAATATTTGTACTTGGAAGGACCAGGGTAGGCTGTAGATAGGACTGCAGAGAGGGGTCTGATGGGCTCTGGACCCCTTAAAGTTAGCCATAACTCATGTGTCTCACCCCAGAGTCCCCTGCTGGACATTCCACCACTGTGGGTGGGGCCACCGATCCCCTAACTCACCCCCAGGCCTCTGGTTAAAGTGCCACCACGGGGGTGGGGTGTCACACATTAACTGGTTGAAACCCAGCCTGCCCTTTTTGACAGGCAAGCCCCAGGGCCCCAAGGTCAGTTTCTGGTCAGTTTCAGGTCAGTTTCAATGGCATTTTGAAAGGCCTAGGTGGGGGCAGGGAGTGGGAGAGAGTCCCTGTGGGGACTCCTCTCTCTGATTCCAGACTCAGGACTAGGAGGAGGAGCCAAGGTGGTCACTAGATCCCAGAACTGGAGCAGGGACTTGTGCCTGGTGCAGTGGCCCTAGGCTGACAAGCCTCTGCTACCCATCAACTGCCAGCCCAGCAACAGTAGGGCTCTGGCCAAGGTACACAGGCCCTGGGGCCAGAGTGAGCACAGGAAAGACAGAGGCTCAGTTCTCAGCTCTGCAGCCCCACCTTACTCTCGCAGAAAACCCATCACCCTGGCCTGGGGGCAATGGCCTGCAGACCCCCAACACTTCATCCCCCACCCCCTAGCCCAAATCAGCCTCAATCACAATCTCAACCCTGATCTCAGACTGAGCTTTTTCCCTGTCTGACCTCTAACCCCTGGCTGAACCCTGACCCCAGGCTGAGCCTCCACCCAAGCCTTAAACCCAGATCTCTCTCAGGTTCCAGGCTCCTCTGGAAGATTTTCAAGTCAAGGGGCCAGTAGGGGAGGGGATGGCCAGGCCGTAAGTGAACCGAGGTGCCACTTTTACAGCCATTTCGGCTGCTCATAAACACCCCCCACCCCATCCCCCACTGGGCTGAGTCACTAGAG